AATGGTATTGATATGGTTACAGCTGATGATCGTCGTTGGCCAGAAGGACAATATGGTCTTCCAACACGTAATGGAAAATTAAAAGAAGTTGATAGATTTGATGCTGCGTTTTTTAATGTTCATCCAAAACAAGCACATAATATGGATCCACAATTACGTCTTTTACTTGAAGTAACCTATGAAAGTATTTGTGATGCTGGAATTAATCCAACAAAATTACGTGGTACAAAAACAGGTGTTTTTATTGGTGCAAGTGGTTCCGATGCTCAAACTGCTTTTTCATCAGATCCACAAACACTTGAAGGTTATAGTATGACTGGCTGTGCAACATCAATGTTTGCTAATCGACTTAGTTATTTTTTTGACTTCAAAGGACCATCATATACAGTTGATACGGCTTGTTCATCAAGTCTTTTAGCACTCGATTGTGCTTTAAATGCACTTCGTAGTGGTGCATGTGATTCAGCAATTGTTGGTGGTGTTAATCTTTGTTTTCGACCTCAAACATCATTACAATTTCTTAAATTACAAATGTTGTCAAATGATGGTGCATGTCGAGCATTTGATTCAAGTGGAACTGGTTATGTTCGATCGGAAACAGTTGCAACTGTATTTATACAAAAACGTCAAGATGCTAAACGTTTATATGCAACAGTATTACATTCAAAAACAAATACAGATGGATGGAAAAAAGATGGTATTACATTTCCAAGTGGTGCCATGCAAAAAACTTTACTTGAAAATATTTATAATGAAATACATCTTGATCCTAATCTTGTTGGTTATGTTGAAGCACATGGTACAGGAACACGTGCTGGTGATCCACAAGAAATAAATTCAATTGCACAAGTATTTTGTAGTAAACGTGAACAACCATTATTAATTGGTTCAACAAAATCAAATATGGGTCATCCTGAACCAGCATCAGGTGTTGCTGCTTTAGCAAAATTACTTGTTGCTATACAAGATGGACATTTACCAGGTAAATATATATATTTAAATTTATATACATATATACATTTTTGAATATATTTTAATAATTAGCTAATTTACATTACAATTCACCAAATACAGATATACAAGGTCTTACTGATGGACGTCTTAAAGTTGTCACAGAAAAAACTGAGTAAATATTGTTTAATAAAAAATTTCTGATAAGATAATTATATGTATTTTTATTAGATTACCAAATAATTTAATGGCAATAAATTCATTTGGTTTTGGTGGTGCTAATGTTCATGCTGTTCTTGATGTAAATCGTAATCGAAAAGAAATCGAAAATTCTTCACGAAATGAAACACGTATTGCAATTACATGTGCACGTACAGCTGATGGATGTGAAAATATTCTTAAACGTTTAAAACAATCAGAAAATAATATTGAATTACAAGCATTAATGACAGAAAATTCTTTTCATCCATCATATACACATCCATATCGTGGTTTTACACTTTTAAATTCTACAGAATCATCAACGATAGTTCAGGTATAGAGTCTTAGTTTTTGTTTTTATAAAATTTGTTTCTTGTTGTTATAGAAATGTAATAATGAACGACGACCAATATGGTTTATATTTTCTGGTATGGGTACACAGTGGTCTGGCATGGGTCGTGATTTAATGGAATTGAAAATATTTCGTCAATCAATTGAAAAGAGTGCAGTCGTACTTGAAAAATATAATATTGATTTATTTAAACTTATTTTACAATCAACACCAGCTGATCTTGATCAACCAATAAATAGTTTTGTTAGTATTGCTGCTATACAAATTGCATTAGTTGATTGTTTAAAAACTATGGGTGTACAACCAGATGGAATTGTTGGACATAGTGTTGGAGAATTAGGTAAAAAAAAGAAATATTTTCAAAGAAAAAATTATATAAAACGATTTTTTTCTTCTTTGGTTTAGGTTGTGCTTATGCTGATGGTTGTTTTACAGCTGAAGAAACAATTTTAGCTGCTTATTTTCGTGGTAAATGTATTCAAGAAGCAAATCTTCCGGCAGGTGCTATGGCTGCTGTTGGTTTAACATGGGAAGAATGTAAAGAAATGTGTCCATCAGATATATCACCAGCTTGTCATAATGCAATTGATACAGTAACAATCTCAGGTCCAAAACAAAGTGTTGAAAATTTTGTTGCTGAACTTAAAGAAAAAAAAAATTTTTGCTAAAGAAGTCGCCTGCAATCAAGTTGCTTTTCATTCACATTATATGATGGAAATTGCACCATTATTAAGAAAATGTTTAGAAAATGTTATTCATAGCCCACCTAAACAACGTTCATCAAGATGGATATCATCAAGTGTACCTGAAAATCGTTGGAATACACCATTAGCATCAACATCATCGCCAGATTATCATGTAAATAATTTATGTAGTCCAGTTCTATTTCAAGAAGCATTAAAACATATTCCATCCAATGCTCTTACAATTGAATTAGCACCACATTGTCTTCTTTTAGCTATTATTAAACGATCATTAAGTACAGATTGTGTACATTTAAATTTTATGAAACGTGGTACACATAATCATATAAATTATTTTTATACAAACTTAGGTAAACTATATAATGAAGGTGCAAATATAGATATTATGATAAATTATCCTCAAATTGAATATCCAGTACCAGTTAGTGTTCCATTTATATCTCCTTTGATAGCATCTCAATGGGATCATTCACAACAATGGAAAATTCCAACATTTGAAATGTTTACACAATCAGGTTCAGCTCAACAAGCTAAACATGAAATTGATCTTAATGATAGCAGTGAATATTCATTTATAATTGGACATCAAATTGATGGTCGTTGTTTATTTCCTGCAACTGGTTATCTTGTTTTAGTATGGAAAACATTTGCTAAATTACATAATTATGAAGATTATCGTCAAATGTCTGTTTTATTTGAACAAGTACAAATACATCGTGCAACAATATGTTCATTAACAACAAAACTTATTTTTTATGTTAATATTTTACCAACAAATGGTACATTTGAAATTATTGAAAATAATACAATTATTGTTACTGGAAAAATATCATTAAGTGAACAATTAACAATGCAAAAATTTCATAAACATGATGAAATTAATTCAAAAGATAATAATTATTTACAAACAAATGAAATTTATCGAGATTTTAATCTTCGTGGTTATGAATATTCAGGTTTCTTTCGTGGAATTAAACAAATAAATATTGATGGAACAAATGGTGAATTAACTTGGAATAATGATTGGATATCCTATCTTGATACAATGTTACAAGTACATCTTATACCATCAAAAGGTTTACAACTACCAACACGTATTGATTCATTACGTATTGATCCAAAATTACATGTAGAATCAATATCATCATCATCATCATCAACATGTTCAGTTTATGTTGATTATTGGAATAGTCTTTGTTTTTCAGGTGGTATTGAATTAATTGGTTTACATTGTACAGGTACATCGAAAAAAAATAAACAACAAAATACAATACTTGAATCATATTTATTTACACCATTTAATAATGAAACTATTGATAATGAACTTAATAGTTGTTTATATTTAATACTTGAAAATACATTAACAACAACATTATCTTTATGTCAAATTGGAAATGAGAAATTAACTGAAGAAATTTTTAATTTCTATTCCCAACAACCATCGATTAAATCATTTGAATATACACTTGTTACATCTTTGCCAGCAGAAGAAATGAATTCAAAATTAAATTTAATTGAGAATTTATCTTCA